ACTAGAAAGTTTGGGACATTGGAGCTGCTGGTGGAGAATGGGAAGCCCAGCCCAGGAGAAATCGGAAAATACAGGAGCAGGTGCTTGGGAAGGGGTCAGGAGCAGCTCCGTGGGACACATGGCTGCGCAAAAAAGGGGAACACAAGGTGGTCGGAAAGGCCTTAAACTCCTCCTTGACATACACAACTGGATTTTTACAAAGATCCAAGCAGTTTGGTCCCAATCTGAGGTGAACACTTCAATGTTTATTCACATGCTTTGCTTTTTTTTTTTTTTTAATAATCAAAGTTGCCCAAATTAAATCTTGCTATATTACTACATATGCCAAAAAAGGAAGGAAAAAAAAAAGAAGAAGAAGAAAAAAGAAAAGGGCCTTTTAAAATAAGGTAAGGGAGGGGGCCCAGGAGATGGCTCAGTGGAATAAGCGCTTCCCTGGCAAGCACAAGGATCTGAGTTCACCTTCTTGGTCATCATGCAAGTAATACTTCTTGCTTTTGGATGTATACTCTGGATCCCATTCCTCTTCCCGGTTTCTCTTTTGAAAATCATTGTTAGTGTTGTTGTTATTGTTACCAGAATAGTTGCCTCTGCCCCAGCCTCTCCCTCTGGCTCGAAATTGAAAGGTTCCCCGAGCTCTGCCGCCGCCTCTTTCACTTGGACCCACAAAGTCTTTGGTCCCCAGTCTGGATTTGGCAAAGCCCGTGGTGCTCTCTTCTCTCTCCTCTGTCTCTTCAGGATACTCCTCCACTTTGTAGGAGTGAGATGACTGGGAGGAGGAGGAGGAGGACCTGGAGCGATCTTGTGTTCTCTGATGCTTCTTTTGCTTCTTTGATCCTTTATGTGTTTTCTCAGTTGATCTTTCCCTTGAATGGCTTGAGTCTCGGGAATCCACTGATTGTCTTGATTTACCTCATTTAAGATCTCTCTCCTTATGTTTTTCACGATGTTCAATATCAAGACGAAGGTCAACAGGATCATCTTTGTATTTTCTCTCAGCCTTGTAGCCAGGTTCCCGAGGACTTTTCATTTCATCATGAGCCAAACCATGTTTTCTGAATGTACTGGGGGAAATGTTTATCCTCCTGTGTATTTCTGGGCTTTTCTTGTTTTTAGCTGCCTCCTGTTCAGCTCCTCTCTTTAGGTATTTAGTGAAACTTTCATGCAATGTCATTCCAGAAGATCCAAAGTGATGCTCTTTAACATGGTGAACAATGGTCACTATATGCTGAGCAAACAATTCTGAAGGGCTACGCTGAGACTGAGCTGACTGAATGTGCTGGAAAATGGAACGAAACTCCTGCTCCTTTTTGTTGCTATGAACCAGATCCCGACAAAGCTTGCGTTCCTGAGCCAACAAACCACTGGGTCGTGCAAGGTCCTCATCGAATGAATCCATGCGTACATTGACCTGGGCCTCTCGAGTAATGGAAAATGAAGACTTTCCCGAGGAAAAGTCTCCTTTGGCTCCCAGCTTCTCACGGCTCTCAGAGGTCTTCCTTGGGGGAGGTGATGAGCTTTTCTCTTGCACTGCCTTATATGCAGTCACTCAGAAATTCTTCTCAGGCACAAACCCTCGGTGCCCACTTTCACTCCTCTTGGCCCCTCCTCGCTCTTCCTTTTTGGATCTCTCTGTGAAAGACTCCTCTTCCAACTCCTCTGCTTTCCTCTGCTTTTCCTTCCCTGCATACATCAGGTCTCCCATTTGCCCGACTTCTCAGCCTCCTGGTTTTTACTTGCACCAGCTATGACTTTTGACATGAATTCGGGTTCATCATCAAACTCAGATTCCTTCCTTCCCTTAGTTTTGTCCTTATCTTGATCATCCATCTCTTCCTTGTGGAAGTCTGCCATCTTCTTCTCAAAGTCATCATGGAGTTTATACCTTTTGGGCGACTGACTGCTCCTAAAGGGCTTCTCACTGTCAGTCTTGGAAGCAAATGAATCTGATTTCACTTTTGCATCCACTTCAGAGAAGCTCCCTTTCTCCTTCACTTTTTCTTTATCAGAATTTGTCTGTTTCTGCTCCTTATCTTTCCCATTCTCTGTCTTCTGGTCTTCTAGATACCTCTTAGTATAGGCTGCTCCTCCTGCAGTAGCACTCTCCTCCTTCTGAGATGAGCCATAAGTGGAGCCAGTGGCTGGTGGACTCTTACCCACAGGGCTTTTTTTGGACGGACTCAAAGATCCAGAGCCATGGTCGAACTGACTTTGATGGCTCCCAGACTGGTACCCAGCACCACTTGGCAGAGATGAGCCCATCTGGGATGTGTTGGAAAGTGGAGGACTAGGTTTTGGCACAGGGCTAGGTCGGGGTGACCGCCGCCTCACCACCACAGACTGAAGAGGGCCCTTGAGAGCTGGGCTCAGGTCAGAAACTGCAGAGGCTCGTGATGCAGAACCAGTGCTGTAGGTGGTAGCATCTGGCCATGGCTTTGAACTCTCAGATGTTTTTGTATCTTGAGAGGTGCCTCCAGAGAAGGTCTGATCCTTGGTCTCATCTCCCTGGTTATCCCCAGCAGCTTGAGATGGCCGGCTATCCTTGGAAGAGGACTTTTTCTCCTTTGCAGATTTGCGCTTAGAAGATTCAACTCGGCTGTGGTTGGAGGAAGAACGAGAGGATGAGGAGCACCTTGAACTGGCAGAAGATGACTTATCCGAGTTTCTAGAATGGCTCCTGGACCTTGGTGAAGGAGACCTTCTCTTTGGGGACTGGGATCGAGACCGGCCCCGACGAGGACTATACGCTTGCCGATAGTTCTAGCCTCCACGGTTATACTGGCTCCATGGATAGAAGCCTCTGTTGAGCCCTCGGAAATAATAGGCCTCCGATAGCCTCTGTTGTGACCTCGGAAATCTCGATTCTGATATACTCTGGGATGATTCCTTTCTCTGTTATGAGCCGGAGAATATGATCTGGAACGAGACCTAGAACTCAGCCTGCGTTTTCTTGATCGAGAGACAGATCGACTTCTGGATCGTGATTTCGAAAATGAACGAGAACGAGATCTTGATGCCGATCTTGAGCGAGAAGAGCGAGACCCAGACTTTGATTTGTTTGTTTTTGACATCTCTGAAGAAAGGTTCACTTTTTAATTACACCTTGTCAGAACAATGATTCAGTGTGCACTGGATGTAGACACTGCTGGGGAAGAACGCTGGCTGTGCCACTGGCTTCTCCAATTTACTAAGTCAGGATATAATTCTAGGCCTACCGCACGACCTCACAGGCAACCTCGCAACGGCACAACCGGCCTGAACCTCGCCCCCGCCCGACAGCCCAGCCTTAATGTTTTGAAGTTGCCCTTGATACAGACCCAGAGGGTACAGGGTGCAGGGTCACATCAGCCCTAGCATCATTCAGGGCTCTGTGGTGCAGAAACAGATTTGGAAGATGGTCTGTCCACTGCCGTCGATACCTCTCTGGATCTGTCTGGTTCACTCCAGAGCTTCTCATTCCTCTAGATAGTACACGAGAGCACAAAGTTGCCTTTTCTTCTTTGCTTCTCTTCTTCTAAATACAGTTATTGAGTAGCATAAGAAGTTATTCTCTCTTTAGTTTAGAATAACTAATCCCAGATGTGAATTCAGCCCAGTGGTGGAGTGCTTGCTTAGCATGTAGGTGGCCATGGGTTCAATCTACAGCACCACAAGAAAAAATGTCTAATCAAATATAGTACATACTATTATTCTCAGATTGGTCCTTTGTTCTCTCATAGCACTGCTCTTTCTACAAAATTATGTATTAATGAATTTACTATGTAAGATAATTCTAATACTTATTATGCCTATTGTAGAACATATTTCATAGCTTATACTTTATTAGTAAGTTTTAAAATATCTTATTTCATGAATCACTTAAAATTTCTGTTTGTAATTACTTTAGTTTAATTGTTTCATTTGTGTAAATTTGTATTTCTGAATCATAACATATAGAATCTGTTTGGGGCTGGCGAGATAACTCAGTGTGCTAAAGCACCTGCTTAGGCAAGCTTAGGCAGGCACAGGGACCATGGTTCATTCTCCAGCATCACAGGCCATGCCAGCCCCATCCCCAGGGCTGGCTGAGTAAGCCAGAGTCTAGGCGTAGTGGCACATGTGTGTAATCCCAACATTAGGGAGGCTGAAAACAGGAGGATCACTATGAGTCCAAACTGTGTAGTGTAACCCTGTAACAACAAATGAAACAAAGCAAAACAAAGAGAAAACTCTGCCAAAAATGTATGCATACTTTAGGAAAAGGAATACTTGTGTAAATACCTTAATACTAAATTTCTTAAGGTATCTTTAATACAAGAACTTTTGCCCTCTGCAATTACAAGAGGTGCTCAAAGTGGTGGCCGTCAGCTACCAGATATTTATTTCTATGTCCAACTGCTGCTGGGGTAACCTTGGTCACTGAGATTGCTACACATGCATTTTTGATATCTTCAGGAAGGGCTGGCAGTGTAGTGGGGTTTCTGTGATATACATCATCCTTTAGGATCTCCCATATGAGGATAACACCCTCTGTTGAAAGAATACTATATAATTTTTCTTAGCCTGAAGTGTTTATATATGTTGGGGCAGATTTATATATTGTATGTGACAAAAATCTAAGAACATTTCTTTTACATCACATAGTAGTCACAGTTAAGGCACACTTTAAAACATTATTTCTTGATGACAGTTATTTTGTAAAAGAGCAGTTCATATTAGTATCTATAAATTTCACTTCAGCTAGCAGAACTAAAGATTTAAAACTGATCACTTGAAAGAATAAACATTCCTGGAAAATTCAGAAAATTAGATACATGACTGTAGACCTAGTTATCACACTGGAAAATAATGTGGTATGACATTAATGATTATGGGAACCTTTGTCTAACAGAATTGTGCAGTCAGTAGATGGCACTCTTTGTTTTATTATTTGGTATTGGCCCCTCCCTTTAATGTGTTGATAGTTTATTATTAAATGTGTTGATAGTTCATTTTAACTATGTTAAAAAATTCCAAAATTATTAATACGTAGTTTATCAAATCAATCATTTTGAGCAGATTTTATGATGACTTATTTCCTTTAATATTATAGTAAAATTCCAGAGGGGAGTTTGAAGAAGGCATTTCCCTAAATAGTCACACTTAGCTTTAAATGAATAGTTAATATGATTTATTGGTTAGCACCTCATAATCTTAAAGACTAAACAAAAACATCACCAGCTCTCACGATTTCTTTCTGTGTATCAAGTAGAGAGAAATCATCCTGTCCTCACTTACATGCCCACTTTCTACATCTAATGACTACAGATATTAATTTCAATATTTTTTCCCACTACAACATGAGTGTTTTGAAGACACCATCTCTTGCTGAGCACCTAGTATTGACTAAATAAGTATTTGTCAAGCTTTGTTTTTTTTTGTTAGCAGTAGTACCTGGGATCGAACACAGGACCTTGCGCTTACCAGGCAAGCACTTATTCCACTGAGCTATCTCCCCAGCCCATTGTCAAACTTCTTGAGTAAATTAATACAGAAAAATGCACATCATACCATCTAATTTATAACACAAGGTGACAACTTTTTTTTTTCTCTTTATGTATTTGGTACAGGGTCTCAGCACACAGCTTGAATTTGCAGTGATCCTCCTGTTTTCAGTTTCTCCAGCACTGGGATTACAGGCCTGCGGGCCCATGCCAGGGCTTGGTTGCCAGCTCAGGGGGCACAGCTGGTGCAGCATGTGGTAGTGACTTTTTAAATGAAACAAAGTATTGTTTTCTGAACAATATCAAGAAGGTAGTTAAGTATATTTAATTAGTTTGTAACAAAAGCAATGGGTGACTTAAGTAAAAATACACAATACGGTGTGGTCAATAAACTGGTAGAAGAGTAAGCAGGTTGAAAGAATCAGAGAACTTTGTTTTTATATGAAATAAAACCAAATTTCCTGGGCCGGGGAGATAACTTGGCGGCATACGTGCCTGCCTGGCAAGAGTAAGGTCCTGAGTTCGATCCCTGGTACCACATGCTGTGCAGGCACTGGAACCCAGAGCACTTTGTGGCAGCCACTGAAATTGGGCATGGTGCTGCACGCCTGTAATCCCAGCAGTAGGGACACTGAGACAGGAGGATCACTAGGAGTCTGAACTTCATAGTGAGACCTCATATGAAGAAAAAAAATAGTTTCCATAATCACATGAGGCCTGCTTAAAATTATACCTGTTTGGAAATGCATATGGTGCAGACTGTGAAGATCTCTCTTTCCTTACTTATCATCCCAGTTAATTGCAACCATAATGCGACACTTGCACTGAGTCATCTGCAGTCCTAGGCACACATTACATAGGCTCTTTACTGTTGTTATTATTACTGCCTTGTCCACATAGGTTCCATTGTATGTGCATAGAACTCATTAAATTCTAGTTCTATGACAACATTTAGAGACAGTTGAAGCATGTGCTTTTCCTTCTCAATTTTCAATCTCTAACTAACGTAAGTGCAGTTTGGCTTTAAAGCAAAAGTTCCAAAATTTGGTTTAACTGGATAAAGATGAGGATGAGGGATGAGTTACAGTGAGTTACAGTGGGTCCGTCTGTGTGTTAGATTTGAAGAATAAGTAGGAAGTGCAATGAGATACTTATTTTTTGCTTTTTATGCTGCTCTCTTTCTCTCTCTGGCTATATGCATACACATCTTTGCTAGGGACTGAACTCCTGGGCTCATACGTTAGGCAAGCATTCCACTCTTGACATGTACTTCGTTGCTTGCTTCTGTGCTTTACCCTAGTTTTTAAACATCCCTTTCTGATATAAAAATTTTCTTCGTTGTTGACATATTCTGTTTCTTTCTTTTGTTTCCTCAAGTTCATGCCACATTGCTGCTGCTTCTGTTGGGTCTAAAGTAGTCTAAATTGCTCTCTTTTATCACTTAACTTGTTACACAACAAACAGAAGTTTTTACTTCTTCACGTCGTAAAAGATCTTTGTACTGTGTATATCTGAAAGCTAATACAAGCTCTAGAGGCAGTTTTTTGAATTAAATCTATTATGAAGTACTAAATGTAGGAAGGGTATTCAATGATATATTCCTGTGGGTTAATATTCAAATGCAGAAAATTTCTACTAAATGTAGCAGATGTCATGCTACTAAATTGCTAGGAAAATGATGTAGACAGGTATAGTATCATTAAAATCTTTATGCATCTCTCATAAACCATAAAGCAAGAGAGTGGATGTGAAAGTGAGGATGACCTGTGGTTAACCTGTAGGACAAGTCTAGATGTTTTTCTGTTGCATCTCTTTCTGTGACTTCCCTGTATTGATGTGGTATAGTGAGCAAGAAGATCAGCCTTCAAGATAGACACTGGGGAATGGCTTCACATAGGACAATCAAACAATATAAGTTGAATGTCACAGCACCACTCTATACAGCTATCCATGATCTCTAGGCCAGGGCATTTCCAAGAGTCAAAAAGGAAAGAAACTCATGGTATTTGTACAGAAGTAATAAGTAGATTACTGAGTATTTTCACTACAGACACAGATCTATGATAATGTATAAATTAAGCACAGTAAGAGATTTACAAAATAAAAATTACTAACAAAATAAAACAATTATAGCAATATACTGCAGTACAAAGTATGTGAATGTGATCTCTGAAAATATGTTACTACGCTCTACATTTTTATTCTTGTGATATGCTGTATACGATTATCTTCTAACCACAAGGTGAATGACATAGATTATGTGGCAGTGTAGGCCGTTATATGAAGGTTGCTTATACACAAACACCCCTTACCATGACAGTCTGTCTGACAGTGGTGACGCCTGTGAAGTGAAGGTACTGCTTCACTTAGGTCATGCATACATTGTGGATAAAGTAAACAAAGGATGATTCACTTTCTGGCAGGGTGGAGATGCTTGTTGTAGTGGATGGCTAACTGGTGGTCAACTTCTTACACCCAGCTGAACTGAATTAGCATGGTGCTGTGTGCAACAGGCCCACCTAGGGGTGTTGCCAGCAGCAGAAAAGGCATAACTGAGAAGCTGTGGGAACGCTATTAGGAATGTCATTTGGAGAAGCTGTTGGAGCTGTTGGAAGCCCCTGATTCTCCTGGGTGACCTTGTCATGCTGGCTTTCCTGATGAACTTGGATGTTCTTGTCAGAGGATGATCTCAGGACCTTATTGTCACTGAAAATGGCTACAGCTGACTTTGGAGGAGCTCTGATCCTCAACTTGAGTGTTGCTTCCTGACTCTAGAGGGGAAGATGGTGCACTGCTCAGCCTTGTGGAG